GGGTTCTGTTTGTATGGGGTTCCAAGGCCCTCCAAGACAATGGCCCTTTGTCACCCCTCGGGTAGGACTGAACTCAGAACTAAGCCCGTTGGAATAACCAGCCGTTGAAGACCAGAAGTGCGGCACTTGCCCAAGGACAATGCTCAGAAGGTTAGGCAGGAGGAGAAATGGACGTGGGCAAGACAGAGAGGACGTGCGGTGGGTGGGGGCCCGCTGAGGGATAGCAATGGGCGGGCTGGACCAGAATGCCTATGAATGACCGAAAGCCGTTCACCCCACTCACAGCGAAAAGTCCTGATGTTGAAAACAAAGAAACATTCGTTTTGTTTAGGGTCGTGGATGGAGAGGACACGGGAAACCACCCCCTCCACAGGGAGGAGGGTTTAATATACACTGCGATTGATGTCCGCTGTGTAAATGCATAGAGTATGTTTCTTTACAAAAATTTCTGCCAGATTCCTTAACCTTTTTTTTTTAAAGGAGGAAAAGTAAAATTGAATGCAAGGTTGAGTGTCCTATGAAAGGAACACGTGGTAGATTCAGACAACTCTGGTGGGGTAGTGGGCTATGCACTGGGCTGCGAACCACAAGGTGTATAGTTTGAGCCCACTAGCAGCTCCAAGGGAGAGAGATGAAGCTGCAGAAATGTAGTCTTAGAAACTCCCAAAGGGGCAGGTTGACCCTGTCCTATAGGGTCACCATGCATTGGAAACGACTTGATCACAGTGATTTTGGAGGTTTTTTTAATTTTAGGGAGGGGGGGGCCAGGTGAAGTGACTTCTGTCATGTTTGGATGTCCCTCCCCCAGGCCACCTGGGCACAGCTTGTATCTGGAGCCTACATACAGGTTCCCAGTTCTCTTGAAAGAAGTGAATGGCTCGGGGTGAGGGGTGGGGAGGGGGAAGCCTTCTACCACCCTGTGGAGAATGCAGTGCAAGCTCAGCCCCCACAGGAGGCAGGACAGCCACCCGGACGGTGGGTTTTGTGGGCAGGCGTGTGGTTCCCATATACTATGATCTTGAGTGCATTCTTAGGGGCATACCGTGGGCGCTACCTGAATTTTTAAATCTCTGTGTTTCCATTTGGATGATAGTTGTAACAATATTGCTTTCATTGGCTATAAGAGCAAGACTTGGCTGTTACCACTCACAAGAAGACATTCTTATAGAATAAACTCCAGTCAATCAAGATTCTGTTTTTTAAACTGGGGGGTGTGGTCCTCTGGGTCTCTCCCAATTACAGCCACATTTTCAGGGGGCCACAAGAATCTATTGCTCCTTTAAAAGGGGCCCTTACTTTCCTCCAATGGGGTGGTCTGCTTCTGTAACAAGGTACAGTCAGAAACGCTGAGGGCAGAACCCTCGGCTGTCCACTAGCGTCACAGGGAGTGGGCTACTTTACTTGGGATTCAGAGGTGGTGCCGATGGGTAAGTGCCTGGCTGCTAACCACAAGTGTCTAACCACAAGATGGTCAAGTCCACCCAGAGGACCTTGGAAGAAAGGCCTGCAATCCACTTCCAAAGCATCAGCCAATGAAAACCCCTCTGGTCTACGCTGACACCCCCGGGGTCACAGGAGTTGGAGGCAACCTGATAGGAACTGACTCCTGGACTCCAGCTTAGAAAACAAGCTCAGCCGGAGCCCCCCCTGTTCTCTGACGCTCTCCCGTGCCTGTAGCCTCACGAGGGCCAAGCCAGAGACACACCTGGCCTGGGAACCAGAGGTCCTGCAGGCTGTGAAGGAAGAGACTCACCTGAAGAATTCTGTCCCTTGGCACCCGGTTACAGCCAGTGTCCTCTTCCCTGAACTAGAAACACCAAACAGAGGAGTCGGCCAAGCATTGCCCTCTGTGATTTCCCTTTAAGCTGAGCGCACCGCTGAGAAACAGTTTTCTTCTTCTTTGATTCAGCGTCCCTGACCCTGAAAGTGGGGAGGGGGCAGGAGGCTTCCCCACAAGACTTCCTTTCCACTTGGTCCTGCCTTTGAACATGGAGGGGCACCACCTTTCTCAAAGGACCTCCTGGGACCCCATCTTTTTTTGCATCAGCACCTCTGCTCTGGGAAGGCCGTGGAAGGAGGTGCAGGACGGCTGTGGACTGGGGGGGGGTGGGGGGAAGAGTATGCCCACCTCCCCCCAAGGGAATGCTGAGACACTGCTCATTCAAAGTTCAGATAGTCTTGCCTTGCTCGGCAAAGTGGAAACACAGTGGAAACCAATTCAGCAAAGTGGAAACACAGAGTGGAAACCAATTGCCATGCATTAGGCAAGTCTGAGATATGCAAGGGGTGAAACCAGGTCCCCAGAAGCATCAGCCACGTCCAGAAAGGATAGCAGGTCACAGCTGCACCCTAAGGAGGGTAGTCCTTTTGACCCCTCTCAAGATGGATCACTGTCTTGTCCCAGAAGGAACAACAGACTGGTTCTTATGAGCCCAGTACTGACTGCTGCAGGGACTTGGGCCCTTTGCCATACTGGGAAGAAGTCTCCCAGGCCCTGCAGCAGTGACGCAGGAAGATGACAATTCTGTCCCTTTCTGTCTCCATGCTCAGGTGAGAGGGGGAAGGAGGTGCTCTAACATGGAATTTATTTGACTGAACAGCCTGCCTTCTGCCATCTTTTTGTGTTTGTTTTTGGGTTCCCATGGGCAATGGTCATGTGGCCTCTCACAAATCCAAACCAAACTCACTGCCCCTGTGGGTCTCTGAGACTGTAACTCTTTACAGGAATATAAATCCCCATCTTCCTCCTGAGGAGTGCCTGGCTGGTGGTTTCGAACTGCCGACCTTGTGGTTAACAGCCCAACGTGTAACCACTATGCCACCAGGGCCTCTAGGCATCTGGAAAGGAGGGAAATGATTTTGTGGGTGAAAGTAAAATTGCGCACTCTGGGTCAGGGGGGAGGTCCTGGAGCCCCCAGACAGAGACCCAGGGCTTCAGTCTGACCAAGTCAGGGAGCAGAGTGGAGGGGGCCCGAGCAGAGAGCCTGAGGGCCACTGCCACGTTCTCTGGGCAGCCCCCTGCCCCGCGTACGCGTCCTCCGCTGACTCACGGGTTCTGCTGACGTGATCCACTTGGCTGTCGCCGCCGCTGCCCCCGCGCCCCGCACCAGTCAGCTCCGGCTGCATGTGGTCTGGCCGCTGGCCCCAGTGGACTTTTTGCAGGCCGGAAGGATGTCCCCTCTGGTCTCTTTTTCTCTGAGGGTAGCTGGAGACCGGCAGGCCCCTGTGGAGGCGACCGCCATCTGCGGGCAGAGCACAAAAGGAGGGGTGGGGTGGAGACAGTTACTGGAAACTGGCATTTTTATATTAAAATTTCCCACCGGCGGGAAGATGGTGGCCCAGTGGAGCACCTGGGGGAGTGGACCTGTGGGAAGGGCTGCTTCCTCCAGGCTTGGGTGAAGGGTTTCCTGCTCCGAAGACCCCCGCAGCTATTAGAAGGGTTAGTGTGGCACCATAGCTAGCATCCTCTTACACGGATGACACATGGCCTAGGACACATGGTTTAGAAGAGGGTCCCTCACTGGCTCACAGGTTTGTCTCAAATTGTCACATCCTTTCTTGGGGCGGTATGCAACTGCAGTACGAATTTCCAGCGGCTGTCATTGTTATTCACAATGAATAACCTGAAGAATAACATCAGTTTCTGAGACTAAATCTTTACGGGAGTAGAAAGCCTCATCTTTCTCTGGAGGAGCAACTGGTGGATTTGAACTGCTGAATTCACGGTGACAGCAGCCCAGCATTTAACACCCGCCTCCACCCAGGGTCATCAATAAATGACTAAATATTTTCCCAAGACTGGTTTCCGTCAACCTAGGAGCCGTGATGGCGTACTAGGTTACACCTTGGGCTAGCAACTGCGAGGTTAGCAGTTTGAAACCACCAGCTGCTCCTTGGGAGAAAGATGAGGCTTTCTACTCCTGTGGAGCATTCCAGTCTCAGAAATCCACAGGGCAACTTCTACCCTGCTCTATAGGGTTACTATGCGACAACATCGACTCAATGGCAGTGACTTTTTTGATGAGAGTTACCGAGGACGCTTCATTAGGATTCTGTTAACCCGGGACGGAGCGCCGTGGTGTGGTTATTACACACTGGGCTGAGATCTGCAAGGTCAGCAGTTTGAAACTACCAGGAGCCACTTGGGAGAAAGACAGGGCTTTCTATCCCCATGAACATTGACAGCATCAGACCCTCACAGCTCCTGGGGCTGGTCTAACCTGCCCTGTGGGGTTGCCATGAGTCAGCATGGACTGGACGACCTGGAGTTTGGGTTTGCGTTTGTGTCTGCACCGGGTCTGTGCCTGCAGAGGTGGGTGGAATCCCTTCGGCCCTCAGGAAGGGCGGACTTTTACCTGCTTGCTGTTGTTGTTGGCTTGAATCGGTCATCGTTGTTCGCGGCTGCTATTCTCTTTTTCTCTGCTCGTTTTTCTGTAGGGCGGATGTCCTTTATGTGTTGTGGCGTGATTGATTCATTCTACAGTGCCCGATGTCAACTCTTTGCACCAACAATTTCTTTGACTTCTCATGTTCCAATAGTGAGGCTCTAACCCAAGTCTCCTGTACCCATTCATCCATCTTCTCTTGGGCCTTACAGTTTTTGGTTTCGTTCCCTGCCTCTCCTCCTTCTCCATCTCCTCTACCCCCTCCCCCACCCCCAAAGAAAAGAGAGAAGGGGTGGGGTGAGGATATGAGAAGATCCTGTGTCTCATTCAAGTGGGTCTCCGTAAGATATGTTTAAGAACCATAAGTCTGGATTCCTGGCGGAAACTGCTCAAGGGCAGGCTGGTCCACCTTTTTGGCTCTTAAGGCTATTTCTGAAGCCTAAGGATGTTTGAAAGCCTGTGGCAGTCTGGGGAAGGAAATGTTCTCCCAGTCCTGGTGGCCCTGGACTATTCACTGCCAGGACGCAAGCCCACCAGCCACTCTGAGGGGGACGGAAGCCATCTGCTCCCATAGGAAGGAACGGCCTTAGCAACCCTGTGAGAGGGTCCCTGTGAGTCAGATTGATTCAATGGCATCGGGTTTGGGTATTTTTTGAAGGGGTGGTCGGCTCTTACGTCAAGAGCTACATTAACTTGAGTTTGTTTGCTTTTTCTCGGAGAAAAGAGCTGCCTCTTGGTTCAAACGGAAATGCAGATGCTACAGACTGGGCATTTGTGGGCAGGTGATACCACACAGGAACCATACCAGGTGAACCTTGAGGAAGCCCATCTAAAGTGGCTATGAATTGCGCTCCTAACCCCACAGTCAGTGGTTTGAACCCACCAGTGGCTCTTCGGGAGAAAGAGGAGGCTGTCCACTCCTGTAAAGATTTAAGGTCTCAGAAACCCAAAGAGGCCTTTCTGCTCTGCCGTATAGGCCATCTATACGTCAGAATGGACTCCATGCAGCACGCTTGATTTGATTCACTCTGTGACGAGGGCTTTGCATGGCTCTGGGGGTTCAAGTCCCTTGGTGTCATTGGCTAACCCTCTCTAGAGCCTCAACTTACTTCACCTGACACCACCGGCTCTCTGGACCCCCAGCCTCTCTGGAGTACAGCGAGCATGGGCAATGGCCAGTGGAGGTATCAATGGTATGCAATCTGGCTTCCTAGTGGACAGGATGACCTAGGTCACAGGATGACCAGCCTTCCCCCTTCCTTCTCTCCCCTCCCCTCAGCACGGAGTGACGCCCTCTGCCCCCCATACAGCATCTTTTTGAGCACTCGGTCATTCAAGGTGAGGCATGGAAACCGCTGGTAGAGGGAGATTGATTCATCTCGCATGAGTCATGTCACTGCAAGGACTCGTGGGCTGGAGCTCTCCAGGAACAACCTCCTGCTCTCTGAGCTGGAGGGCGCCCCCAAGTTTCCTGACTCTATAGGCCCTGTTTCTGGGGTCACTCAATGGCAACAGTGTAAGTTCTTCCAGTTTCCATGCCTAAGGGTGGTTCCTGAGCAGTGCAGCGCTGGGCTATTAACTGATTCAAACATCGGATGCCCCGATGAAGGAGTGCTTGGCAGTCTGCTTCCCAACGGTGCCGGCTTTGAAAACCGTATGGGGCACCGTTCCCTTCTGGGCCGCTGCGTGTTGGAATCTACTGGACAGCGAGTGGTTGGATTTCTGTTTGGTTTTGTTCCCCGCCCCCTCCTATACACACACAGAGTCTCATTGCTAAAGAAACCCAGGGGGATTAGGAAAATAACCTGTCAGGGAAACAGTTTGCTTTTTGCCCTAGTTCAAACGTATGCTATTTTTCTGTGGCTTGGGTCCGGATCGTCACAGCAGGGGGTGGAGCTGGTGAGCTGGGCAGGGCTTCCCCACCCCGGCCCGGCCTGCGTCCTCCTCCTCCTCCTCCTCCCCTGCGCGCCGCTTCTCTCCCGGGACAGCCTGTCGAGCTTGGCTCGGGACCCAGGTCACGCTCTCCTGGCAACTGGCCGCCACGCCCCTCAGGGGGCGGGCCCGGCGGGGGCTGAGTGCGCGCGCGCGCGCGCCCGCGCGCTCATACGCACACACGCGCACGTACGCACACGCGCGCGCGCGCTTCGGCTCAGCCAGCGCCCAGCAGGGCAGTGGGCTGGGTGCTTCCCTCCCGGTGGGCCCCGGCCCCAGCCTGGTGGCCGCCTCTCTGGAGAGCGTGGGCTGAGCCGAACTCCGTTTGGAGCCCTGGACAGCGGCTCCGGCGCAGCGGCCATATTCCCACGGCACGCCTTTCTTGTGCTGGTGGTTCATGAAAGCGGAGAGTGTGCTCTGTGTTGGGGGAAGCTCTGCTCTGATCCACACAGCTAGAGAGTGGGGTCCTCTCTGTCCCCACCACACTGCCCCTGTCAGACGAGGGGAAGGCTCTTCCCACCAGATCTGGAGGAGGCTTGGGGACCCATCCTCTGGAGTCCACCGCTGGAAAGGTCCTTTTAAATTTGTATGAACATGACCTCACCTTCTGGGTTGCGACCTCTCCTCCTGTCGTTAGAGGGGTCCAGCATTCCTGCCGCAACCTTCTCCTCCACCTTCATGACTAGAAAGGAAAAGAGGAACCATAGCTTCAAAACGTATAATTGAATTCCAAGGAGAAATCGTTAGACCCACAGTCATGGAGGCAGACCTTAATACAGATGGTCCTAATAAGACTAAAGAAAGGATGAACAAATGGAAGAAGCCCAAATAAGTGTACTGACACATAATTCCCAGCCATCAAGTCCAGGATGACGCCTAGCACCCTCCTGTGGGCTCCTGAGCCTGTCACTCTTTACGCCAGTAGAAAGCCCAGTTTTTCTCCCATGGAGCTGTTGGTGGTTTAGAACCTGGAGCCATAGAGATGGCAGCCTAATGCCTAACCTTTACACCCCCAGGACTCCTCATCCTCTCCAACAAAGAGAGAGCACACGTCCTTTCTCAAGCACTGATAGGGCATGTACAAAGAGACTGCTGAGCCGCCCCCACCCTCCGAATGCACGACCACCCAGGCCACAGAAAAGCCTCCGTTGAACTAACTGGAAGCTCAGTGGTTCAAATTCAACCAGAGACCCAGGCTGCTGGAAAAAGAGCTGAAGACTTACTCCAGTCGGACAGTGTAAGATTTGACAAAATAATAATTTATAAATTATCAAGGGCTCATGAGGGAGGTGGGAGTGGGGAGGGAGGGGGAAAAATGAGCTGATGCCATAGGGCTTAAGTGAAGAGCAAATGTTTTGAGAATGATGAGGGTAGTGAATGTGCAAATGTGCTTTACACAATTGATGTATGTATGGATTGTGATAAGAGTTGTACGAGGCCCCCCACATGGAAGAAGCACACCAGCCTATGCGACCACGAGGTGTCGAAGGGATCAGGTGTAAGGCATCATCAGAACAAAAAATCTTACCATAGTGAATGATG